TTTGCAGATGATACAAAACTACTCAAGATGGTTAAGTCCAAAGCAGACTGTGAAGAGTTACAATGGGATCTCACAAAACTGGGTGACTGGGCAACAAAATGGCAGATGAAATTCAATGTTGAGAAATGCAAAGCAATGCACGTTGGAAAACATAATCCCAACTATACATATTAAATAATGAGGTCTAAATAAGCTGTTGCCACTCAAGAAAGAGATCTTGGAGTCATTATGGATAGTTCTCTGAAAACATCTATTCAATGTGCTGTGGCAGTTAAAAAAGTGAACAGAATGTTGGGAATCATTAGGAAAGGGATAGATCATTATAAGACAGAAAATATCATAAAGCCTCTATATAAATCCATGGTACGCCCACATCTTGAATACTGCATGCAGATCTGGTCACCCCACCTCAGAAAAGATATATTGGAATTAGAAAAGTTTCAGAAAAGGGCAACAAAAATGATTAGGGGCATGGAATAGCTTCCATATGAGGAGAGATTAATAAGACTGGGACTTTTCGGCTTGGAAAAGAGATGAATAAAGGGGGATATGATAGAGGTCTATAAAATCATGACTGGTGTGGAGAAGGTGAATAAGGAAGTGTTAAGCAGCAGGTTTAAAACAAACAAAAGGAAGTATTTCTTCACACAATGCACAGTCAACCTGTGGAACTGTTTCCAGGGGATGTTGTGAAGACCAAGAATATACCAGGATTCAAAAAAGAATAGATAAATTAATGGAGCATAAGTCCATTAATGGCTATTAGCCAGGATGGACAGGGATGCAAAACCATGCTCTGAAGTGTCCCTAACCTCTGTTTGCCAACAGCTGGGAATGGGCAACTGGGGATGGATCACTTGATGATTCCCTGTTCTGTTCATTCCCTCTGAAGCACCTAACATTGGCCACTGTTGGAAGTCAGGATACTGGGCTAGATGGACCATTGGTTTGACCCAGTATGGCTGTTCTTACATTTACATTCATTTGAGGGCAGCATAAAATATCTCTAGCCCTCCATTTACATTTTTCCATTCCCAATTGTCCTTCATGTATCCAATTTAGCATGTCTGTCGGTAATGCTTTTGGAACAATTAGCTAGGGTAGGCAAGCCTGCGGCCCAGGACTTGGGCTTAGCGCTCCGGGGCTAGGGGTGCGGGGGCCATGGTGCCTCGGTGCTGGTGGCATTGGGTAGCTGGGGCCATGGTGCCCGGCGCTCCAGGGTTGGGGGTACTGGGGCCATGGTGCCCCAGTGCTGGTGGCACTGCGTTGCTGGGGCCACAGTTCCTGGCACTGCAGGGCTAGGGGAACTCAGGCAGGCTGGCCAGGACTGGGGCCAGCGGCCGCAGTGGGGGGCTCGGGGCTCCGCTGGTGGAGGGGGGCAGACGGGGTGGGACCTCCGGCAGAAAAGACGGGGCCAGGCGCTAACCTCCCCGAATGGGTGGCTCACGCGCTGTCCATGGCCACTAGGTCATGGTTATAATTTTGGGAGGTGCTGAGATGTGCACTGTGATTAGATGTGGTTTAAAAAGATGGGTGGATAGAAATTACTATTATTAAAACTGTTTATTAATTATTATTATTACTGAGGATGTGCCTAGGAGCCCCATGACCTCACCGTGTTAGCTGCTGTTCAAGCACAGGCCAAGGGTACGTCTATACTACCCGCCGGATCGGCGGGTAGTGTTCGATGTATTGGGGATCGATTTATCGCGTCTCATGTAGACGCGATAAATCGATCCCCGAATTGACGCCTGTACTCCACCTCGGCAGGAGGAGTAACCGGAGTCGACGGGGGAGTCAAGGCAGTCGACTTGCTGCCATGAGGACGGCCAGGTAAGTCAAATAGCATAGTTGAAGTTGCATATCTTAGTTTGAACTCCCCCAGTGTAGCCCAGGTCTAAGACAACGTGCCCTGCCCCCAAATAAAAATAAACATTAATAACAACACTGCTCTCTTATGACGATTGTCCCCAGTGTCCATTCAATGATGAAGATCATCCCAGCCGCCCGATCAAAATTGCCAGAATCTTGCTGTGCCGGCTCCCTCCCCAGTCTCTGCATTTATGTGCAAGGAATTTAATACGTTAACCCCCTGGGTAACCTCCACCTCTTATTTTAGAAGAACTCCATCTCGTGCCTTATGCTGTGTATTGGAAGTATTAGCCAAATCAACTGAGTTAGGTGAAAAGCACTTCGCCTAAAGCCCACCGAACAAGCCTTGCTAAGTCTCCGTCTAGCAGGTGGGCATCCATTTTACTTGTGTGGAGATAGTGCAGTCCAAACAGACTCTGACTGCAGGTGTTACTCCAATGAGCTTTGATTCCAAAATGATGCCTGTTACACTGTTGGATGGTTCCCAACATCAACATTCAGATATTTTCTCTAATGCTCAACTCTAGCAAGCTCTCTGGGATGATCATCCACACAGAAATAGAAAGAATTCTCAGACTAAGGTCATGTCTACACTAGAGAGCTTACAGTGGCACGGCTGTACTGATACAGCGACGTCGCTGTAAGATTGCTCATGTAGCCGCTCTGTGTCGATGGGAGAGAGCTCTCCCCGTGACATAATAAAACCACTGACATAGTGCTGTGCACACGAGCACTTATGCCGGCAAACCTTATGTTGCTCAGAGGTGGTTTTTGTCAGCATAAGTGGAAGTGTAGACATGGCCTAAATCAGACCTATGGTCCATCTAGTCCAGTATCTCATCTCCAACTGTGGATAGGACCGGATGGTTCAGATGAAAGGGTAAGAAACCCAGGAGCAGGCAGATGTAGGATAACATGCTTCATGCATTAACCTTCTCTTAAGGTTTCAGAGTGGTAGCCGTGTTAGTCTGTATCAGCAAAAAGAACGAGGAGTACTTGTGGCACCTTAGAGACTAACAAGTTTATTTGGGCATAAGCTTTTGTGGGCTAAAATCCACTTCTTCAGATGCTTGCAGTGGAAAATACAGTAGGAAGATATATATACACAGAGAACATGAAAAATGGGTGTTGCCATACCCACTATAACGAGACTAATCAATTAAGGTGGGCTATTATCAGCAGGAGAAAAAAACGTTTGTAGTGATAATCAGGATGGCCCATTTCCAACAGTTGACAAGAAGGTGTGAGGAACAGTAGGGGAAAAATTAGCATGGGGAAATAGTTTTTACTTTGTGTAATGACCCATCCACTCCCAGTCTTTATTCAAGTCTAATTTAATGGTATCCAGTTTGCAAATTAATTCCAATTCTGCAGTTTCTCGTTGGAGTCTGTTTTTAAAGTTTTTTTGTTGGAGAATTGTGACTTTTAGGTCTGTAATTGAGTGACCAGGGAGGTTGAAGTGTTCTTTTGAGTGATTCTTGATTATATCAAATTCCGGTTGGCTAGTGACACGTATTCCTGGGTGGGCTATCATTGGTAGAGATAGGATGTCTCGTAACTTGCTATAACAGCATTTACTTTGGCATCTGGGAGGCAGCAAAACAACATCAGCCCCAAGAGTCCCAGCCCAGGCTTCTTATTGTGGAGTCATAAATTAAAGAACCTAAATCCATGAAGCATTGTAATTTTGAGCAGAGCAATACCTAAGGTGTTGCAATTCTAAGCGGGGCAACACCTAAACACATTCCTTCTGGTCCTTCCCTCCCCCCGGTAAAGTTGGCATCAGATCAACTGCTTGTGTGACTCTACCTCTTTGGATATCATTGGATCAGTCTGCCAGCTGGAACATCTATAAAGAGTAACTGGATGGTGCATTTGCTGGTGGGGAGAAGACATACACAGCAGGAAGATGACTTGTGTGGTGGTGAGACTGATAACCGCTATTTGGTGCTGGCTGCATAAGGATGTCTCTCGAATCTTTTACCTGCCCATTGTGCTTTGTCTGACCTACATGGTGTTGAAAGCAATCAAGCTGTATCAGTGGAGAAGGGAGCTGAACAAAGCACTGAAGAGTTTTCCAGGCCCTCCAGTCCACTGGCTTTTTGGCAACGTCCATGAGGTAAGGAAAGAGGTGGTGGTGAAGACTTAAAGCTCAAATCAAAAAACCAAAAGCAGCTTCCTTCTATAGATAGACAGCCTTCCTAGTGGTTAGAACACAGGCCTGGGAGCCAGGACCTCCTGAGGTATAATCCAAGCTCTAATATAAAGTTGCTATCTAGAATGGAGGGGTGGGGAAGTCACTTAACCTCTTGCCTACTCATGGTAAAGGAGGAATAATAATGTTTACATTGATCACCAGATATTGAGTGGATAAACTGATAACTGTACAATGTTCCAAAGACATTTATGCTCTATAAATGCTGAAGTATTAGGGTTATATGGTTATGGATTTTTAAAAAGTTACCCCAGGAGTTTGGAAGGGTTATAAATTCTCGTGTTTCGAGACATATGACAACCAGTAGCTAAGGAGGGCTTGAAAAGAACCATTTGTGTGGGCAAGTTATTCCATAACTGTTTTTGGCAGGGTATCTTGTACCATCTTCTAAATCTGATAGTACTGGCCACTGTTGGAGACAAGATACTGGACTAGATGGACCCATTGATCTGATGTATTATGGCAATGACAGTGCTCATATGAAGTAAAAGAGAAATAGAGAAACAACTGCACCTTCCTGGCCTCTATGCTAATATCATTCAGGTCTATGTTTCACGCATAACATTGTGTAGCATATACATTATACAGTGTGTGCTTTCCATTTAAGTAGCCACAGAAGAAACAATCAGATGGGGCAAGAGGGATTTGAGACAGGGAAACTCTGGTTAAACTTTCAGTAGAAAATAATCTATAAATAAATAAATAACCTTGCTCATTTTGTATGCTTCCTATTCAGTAATTTCTTTGCAGATACATAAGGTCCAAATCTATGCTTGTGTTCTTAGCTTACAGACACTGAAGGTCAGATATTTACTGAAGTCAATAGGGTTATTCATGTAAGTGTGAGACTACTAATGTGAGTAAGGAATGCATAATTTAGTCCCCAAGAGATTGGCCACTTTGGGGGTTGTATTATCAGTGGCACTAAGTTGACGGAAAGGTGGCATCACATCACCTTTCTGCAGCTCTCCTTCCCTAATCCTGGGGACAGCAGGGGACTGTTTCAGACTCTGGTGTAATTTAGAGCAGCCTTGGGGCTGCTCTGTAATATGCCTGGCTGTCTGGGGCCATCTAAGAGCCATCCACCGGCCAAGGATTCCTGGAGAGCAGTATACTCCAGTCACCCCCTTACTGACCCCAGCACACCCTCTATCCCAGGGGGTCAGAAGCATGTGGCATAAAGGTGTCTATACCAGCTTCTGAGACCCAGGGATCCCCAGCTGCCTTCTTATATCAGCATTCTACCCCCTCTTACCACCAGAGTGGAGCACAGGGGATAAGGTAAGGGATAGGGGACTTGCTTTGTGTGAAGCCTCCTACAAAAATGCAATGGTAAACATAGTATTTTGTCCTTCTTCCCACAAATCTCTGGCCTGGCAATCCTAATCAAGCAGCGTGGAGTGTGTTGCAATAGTCTGAAAATGCTAGGGCTAGATCCCTTGAATACACCAGGGATTATAAAAAGAAAACTCAGCAAGTTCTTTGCCATTTTGCACTGCCGCTTCTGCTAACTCACTTGACCGTGTATAGGAAGGACTTGACGTGGGGGGCTTGAACTGATACAAAGAGAACTGCGGAAATGACTCACTCCTGAACTGTGGGCCATTTCTTCAGCTGGAATATTGTGTTACGCAAGTGAGTTAGTTACACTGAATGGCAACCGAGTAGCCAGTTTCCTTGCCAGGGTGTTGTACAACAGCTCAAACAACAAAAACTGAGCATCTGTCCCTCAGTAAGAGCTCCTGCTTAGATCAAATAGATTGACACCACCCTGTGGTTTCAGTTGTTCCTTTACATTTTGTTTCTTTTTATTTCACACTAGGATAGTTTATCTTCACTGGCAGCTGGCACAGTTTCAGGCATCTCCACCTCTGACCCCTGTGTGCTCAAGGGATGCCCCCTTTAGGTCCAGGGCCGTCCTGAGGATTTATGGGGCCTAGGCAGTATTATTAAACTGGTGTCCCTATGCCCAACGGCAGCCCGGGGGAGGGAGGGCGGAAGGACGAGGCAGCAAAGGATACCGAGACGCCCGGCCTGCCTCACGGTGGTGGAGAGTCACAGTTTCCTACAGACACCCCCGTACCCTCTCCCTCGCGCAGAATGCGTGGCGCTGTGAATACAGCCCCTGCCTACAGAGACTGCAGTGTGTGCTTGGTGTGTCGGAGCCAACCCACTCTTACCTGCTGCCTTGGGCGGTGGGTGAAGCTGCCGCTTGGGGAGGCTAGCTCCCCAGCCCACCTCTTCTGCCTGTGACCCTGCCCCACCCCAGGCCCCGCCCCACTCTGCCCAGGCTCCACCCTCTTCTCACTGTCTCCCTCTGTTTTCCCTTTTCTTAATCAGTATTTCTAAGTTGATTTTATATTTTAAATGTACTCTTAAGCCTTCATAAAGTAATCATTCCAGATTACTACATATTTAACTCACTGAAACAAAGACATTATTTTAAATTAATCAGTCATAGAGGTTTAGTGTGTTCATAACAATGTTCATTGCGTTTAGAAAAAGGGAACACTAATTTATTTTGTGTGATCTCCATAACAATAGACATGTTTATGAAACTTCACCAACTTTAAAAAATGTTTCCAAAGATTTTAGGCCTAACAAAGGATTTTATATCTTACTAAGCACTGGTTTTGCTGGAGGGTTCTCTTAAAACTAGTTCATCAGATAGTCAGAAGTAAAGAAAGGGAAACTCTTTGTCCAGTTATCTGGACGGAAAGGGGTGTTGTCCCTTTAAGGGCTCTCTTCAATGGGGGTGTGGGGGTGGTGAAGGGAGAAAGGGATGGACAGAAAGGACAGCAAGGCTTTGGAAGCAAGTTTTTTTTCCCCTATAGTAATTAAAATTAAATTGTGTATTTTAGATAAGGGTGGTCTTTTGAAGGATTTATTTAAAAAAACATATGTCTGAAGATCCAAGCATTTAAGGCTAAAGATGATTGTGCATCTAAAAATCTATGCAAGGATTTTTTAGAGATGTGATTTTATAATATTCACCAACTCACTAATGAAATATTTTTAAAGCAAATTTTAAACTAAGGTCCTGTAGACTGACCTGTGCTGAATAAATATGACAGTCATGCACAACTGTTTTTGTCAGTAAATTCAGGCCTTGGCTACACTGGCAATTCACAGCGCTGCACTTGCTGCGCTCAGGGGTGTGAAAAAACACCCCCCCTCTGAGCGCAGCGAGTGGAGCGCTGTAAAGCGCCAGTGTAATCAACCCCTGCAGCGCTGCTCGCTCGCTTGCAGCGCTGCAAGCTATTCCCCTCGGAGAGGTGGAGTATTTGCAGCGCTGCGAGAGAGACTACACTCGCGCTTCACAGCGCTGCCCCGGCAGCGCTGTGAATCCGCGAGTGTAGCCAAGGACTTAGAAACTGACAGTATATACCTGGAGGTTGGCAAATGCCTGTTAAATGGCTTCATTACCACTTGAATGCTCGTTAACAGTTTCAGTGTTGTAATAGGTCTGGCAGGCTGGAGGCTTTTTCACTTTTAA